GCATGGATTTCCAAAGTCCCTGTAGAGCTCAGGTTGAAGAAAGACCAGAATTCAGACAGAGAAGTTTGAAAAAAGCAGGAATTTCGAGATTCGCATAATTTTGTTCCACTTGGCTCTCAGTCGAATTAGCAAAAACTATCGAGCGACAATCACGAGGAAATCCTTCTACCTCTGGCCATCGAAATTTGGAAGCCATTAAGGATTTAGAAGTAAAGTAAACTTCATCTTCATAGAAAATACTCGAAATGTCGAAACGCTGCTGAACCGTAGATTCTACTACCTTAACTAACATTACCGGCCATTGAATCATGAAAACGTGGACTCGTTGATTTTACGAATCGCTAAATCAAGTTGAAACTAATGATGAATGAGAATTTCCGGACTTTACAACCCTCCAACTATCAGCAATACCTAAGTCGACAGCTCGAAATTGAAATCGGCATAAAATGTCATCAGCAGAGGTGAACAGCTAAGAGACATCGAAAAGATGCTAGAGTGAAATTCTCGAAGCATCTCAGAAACGCTAAATGAAACCTAGACTAGTCTTTATGGGCTAAGAGAGATCCCCCTCAAAAAAATAAAACCCATATCAAAAACCAATCAAAGCAGTTTCCAAAATCAAAACACCCTCGCAATTTGAATGGACTTCAAAGGAATGGCGTATCCCTACATGATTAGATGAATCAATAAGACACATCGATAGAACCTTGATACATAAACTTCTAATTTTGCAGCGATTACAGTAACATTGAACTTCGCAAATACCTTCCTTAATTCGTGAAATGGGAAATTTATTTATTTATTTATCGAGGACTTTATTTATTACAGAGCTTTGTGCCACACGAATATTCACTGAAATATTTTTATCGAATGGATCAACCGACCCGTTTCTCACTGGCAAAATTCTGGGAACCAACAATTCAAAGAAAAAACCATCAAAGGAACAAGTAGGAAAGAGGGCTGCCCGAAATTGAAGGCGATGGTTTGAATGGTTGGCATAAACTTTGCCGAAGAAAATCGATAGCGCAACGAGCAAGGAGCAAATATCGACATGCTGCCAAGACCAGACCTATTTCGATTCTGCTGAGAAAGTGATTCAGGAACCGAAACTTGAACCCTGCAGTTGATGGTGTGCACTTGCGGATCAAGGCCAAAGAAGGACGCCTGAAATTGCCACTGACAACACTTTCCACCATAGCAGAGGCAGAAGAAGCTAAGGTACTTCCTGAGGGCATCCTGACCTTCAAGAATCAAGCCGATGATAATAAAGAGATGAGGTTCATAAATCTCGCTTTAGTCCAGTCATTGTATGACCCTTGGACGCACTCAAACGCCAGTATGAACTGAAGAACAGTTGCTGAATCCTCGGGATGCGCCTAGGCACTTAGCAAACATTCAGATCACACAAGCGTTGAAAGCACATGGGGTTTATACACTTGGGGAGCCAACCGATGTTCAGACTTTCTCTTTGTTCTCTAAAACGAATGTGATATCAATAAGCTGGTCTGGAAGGGACTGTAGCCTTGGTCAACCCGAGCTTGTATCGGGTGGCGCAGTGATATGGTGGCTTACGTTGAAGTACCACTAAAGCTTTGGCACATTTCCGCCGGAACCACCGGGGCTTGGCCCTCTTGACCATTAAAGAATCCCTTCGGGCAACCTTCATAAAGTAACGAATCCTGAGCACTTTTTGCTAACCCTATAAGTATTCAGATTTAATCTCATCCAGGTCAGCGAGCACTTTCATTCTATTAAAGTCACTGAATGGGATAAATGTGGTCAGGAACGACAGGGACTTTAAAATGAATGTCGGTTGGTTGCCGTACTTCTTTGTTCACTACAGGAACAGAATTCACCAGAACTGCAACACAACCGAAAACCGGGTGCACGGCTTATCTCGAAAAAAAAAATCAGTCTAGGCTGCTTACTTGTTTCTAGCCTTCTACAACAACGATATTTCTAGAGTTTCTCTTATCATCTGACGATATTGAGACATTTCCTTCAAAAATGTGCAATCACACAATTCAAGCCTACCCCACTGGGAAAGGGCCCTAAGTCTGTTAAGGACCAAAACCACGTGTAGTCCACTAAGAAGATTTTTCTAGCTTGATTCTATCAGCTGAATCGAATCAGACGTTTTCAAAACCGATCATATCACACATCATTAGTCTTCGCTCCCCCCAACGATGCCCAGCGACCGCAATTTCCATCGCCTTCACCTGGTCTCAGGCGAGAGATAGAAAGAGCGGCACTTTCACCTTTGTGATCGTTTGCCGCACTCCTGAGATATATGCAAATCGAGATTTGCAACTCGTCCCGTCACGGATGATATATGGGACTGTCGAATCGGCTTAGTTACCCGTCTAAGAACCCCACCCACCTGGCCACTTCCTATAGAATTAATCGAATTCCCCCTGGAAAGAGCTATCCTGCTGAAACTTATCAACAAGACATTTAGATAATTATTCGTGAGTGAGGCATTGGTTGAACTGATCTTATTCGATCGGACACTTGTTTGTACACCTCT